AACAGGGACTCCGGGAGCCTGAGGACACGGGTGCCTGGCCCAGGGTCCCACAGTCGTTGAGCGAAAGGGACCAGCGGGAGAGAAGGAGCCCCAAGAAAGAAGCTGGGAGACAGAGCCTCGCCGAGAGACAGGCCGGGCGGAGGGGGCAATGAGAACAGCTCGGACCCCGGTTCCCTCCCAGGAGGAAGTGTCATTCGGTCTCTCCCGCGCTGGGATTTTCTTCCAGCCTGAGAGCAGAGGAAACAGCGCTGAAGTTCCCAGCCCAGGGCCACTGGCAGCCAGAGCGCAGGCCTGCGACTTTTGCCCTGAGAAGTGCCAGGAGGGCTGAGGGCACGCGGGCTTGTGCTGAGAGGCGTCCTCCAGCCGCCTGGCCTGCCCGCGGGGCCAGCTTGTGCAAACAGTGGAGGGGGGTGAGTGAGAGCCAGCGATTCCGAGCCCGCAGAGCCTCGAAATTCAAATGACTCACAGTAGCTCGGGTGCCCTGCCCAGCCCACATTCCCCGCCTGCGCTCCGCTGGCAGGACCAGGCCAGCCTTAAAGGGCCAGCCCCTCTGAGGTAGGGGCAGTGCCACCCTGCCCACCCTGCCCTTTCTCTTCTTTCATGTTGACCTCTGGTAGCGTTGCTCCCAGAACCTGGGCACGGGCTAAAAAGGATGGCATCCTGCAGATCTCCCCCAGGGGTTTTCATTCATCCTGGACACTGAGCAAGCGCAAGCTCACACGGGGCTGCACCTAAACTGGCTCAGCAGGATTAAGAAAAAACCCTTCCCCCCTTTTTTTTTTAAAGATGTTAGCAGCAGGAGGGGACTTCTGTCAGGGCAACCTCACCCAGGGTCTCAGCACTGGCTCCTGCTAACCTTCACCTCCCAGGCTACTGGTTATCCAGGACACACACACACACACACACACACACACACACACACACACACACACACACTGTATCCCCTCCCTGCCCTGGCCCCATTTCAGTAATGGATTGATTGATTGTCCTGGGGATTGAACCCAGGGGCACTTTACCGCTGAACTACCTTCTAAGCCCTTTTTGTACTCTGCGAGACAAAATTTCACTAAATTGTCCAGGCTGGTCTCAAACTTTCACCCTTCCTGCCTTAACCTTCCAAGTAGCAGAGATTACAGGCATGTGCCCCCACCCCCAGCTGACTTTTTAACTCTCCTTTGACACCTCTGTCTGGTGGGCTTCAGGTCGTCCATTCAGACTTGTGTCCCACTCAGGGTCCTGTCCTAGGAATCCAGCTTTTCCACAGACCTGTCCTGTCACTGGATTCCTCGGGGTGGAAACACCATCCGGCCGCTGGGGGCCCAAGTAACTTCGCTGGACTTTGCACGCCACCATGTGGACGCCGGAGAAAGTGTCCCTTGGGGAGATCGAGAGGGCGGGGCCTGCAGAGATGCCGGGCACCGTACACGGACCCTGGAAAAGCACCCTCAGTTAATGCAGTCCTGGGCTGGGAATGCAGTTCAGGAAAAAGCACTTCCCTTCCGTAGATGAGGCCCTAGGTCCATCCCTAGCACTGCAAGAAGCAAAAACAAAGTAGGCCCGTGTCTCTTACATGCCCCCAGGGAACACTGGGAGAGCTGGGGCGCATCCCACGCGTCCCACATCTACAGCCCCGTCTCCTCAGCTTTTGCGACTCGGAGCCCCGTTGTGACTTCAGTGGCTGTGAGCAACGACCGGCAGCCAGGGCCTGGTGGGAGCGGCCTGCAGCTCCGTGGCCAGTGCGCCCCAGGGCTCTGGGAGAGGGACAGCAACCATGCCCCACGCATTCTGAGGGTGTCCACAGCCTGAGCCCCGCCTGGGCTGCCTGCTGTCGGTGTTGAATGGGGACAGTGCCCGGGGCACCACTCATTCTTGGGGGAACGTGTGTGGACTGCCGCATGGGCAAAGCGCACACTCCCGAGTGCCCCGCCCAGAAGCTGAGTGGGCACAGACTCTGACAGTAGCAACCCCTGTGCAGGGCTCTGCCCTGGGGAGGGCTGGCAGCAGGAGGAGAGTGCAGTCGAACTTGGATCCTCTACTGATGGCTCAGGGGAACAGAGGGTCCCAGGGTGCTCGCTATTGGCACCCCGTGACGCAGCGCCTGCTTTGACTATGGCCTTGCGAGTCCTCCTGGCAGAGACAGAAAGGGGCCAGGCATTCTGGAGTAGAAGGGAGAAGAGGAGGGGGACTTGGAGCTGAACTCTGAAGGCAAATTCTAGAAGGACTGGGGGATGGGCTCTTTTGTAGGTGTGAGGCTGGCCTGGTTCTCTCCGCAGCCAGGCTTGGGGATTAGCACTGGGCTTCAAAATAGGGTGCTCAAGATCATTTGTGGGGGTACAATTGGAAAATTCAACTTTTTTCTAAGAGGCATAACAGGATTTTTTTTTTTTTTTTTTTGGTCTTTTTGAGACAGGATCTTGCTATACAGTTCAGGCCAGACTTGAGCTCAGTTTATAGCCCAGGCTGATCTCGAACTCACAACAATCCTCCTGCCTCAGCCTTCCAAATGCTGAGATTACAGGCCTGGCTCATAACAAGATTTATTAGATAGAATTTAACAAATAGACACTCAAAGAAATAGAGTACAGGTCCTCAAAAGGGAGAGAGAGAGGCACCAGGAATTCAATTGTTATCTATATTTATTTTCGTGTAATCTTTTCAAATTGTTCTATTTAGGTGGTTTTAAATATGTATAGCCCAATGTAACATGAATATAATTTATAATGGAAGAATATACATGTATTATGGACACATGATTATAAAGCTTTTGGTGCCGCTTGGATTATACTATTGAGAAAGTTTGGAGACCACTGCATTTCAGGATGTCTTCTGGTTTGTTTGTTTGTTTGTTTGTTTGTTTGTTTGTTTGTGGTCTTTTTGAGACAGGGTGTCCCTATGCAGTTCAGGCTGGCCTTGAGCTCACTTTGTATGTAGCCCAGGCTGATCTCAAACTTACAACGATCCTCCTGCCTCAGCCTCCCAAGAGCTGTGTCTTCTGGTTATTGGGCCTGTCCCTGTCCCCCAGGCTCTCTGTAATTTACAGGAGATGCAGAGAAGTGGAATGGTTTGCTGGGGTCACACGGGGCACAAGAAACATCCAGACCTTCTGAAAGGTTCCACTCATTTATCACCATATCCACCCATCATCTACTCACCCCCCATGCCATCTGTCCCTCCTACCAGTCCGTGTGTCCATCCATCATCTGCTGATACTATCCTACTGTGGTCATCTCCTGGGTCAGCTTCCTCCCCCTAAGCTGTAGCACCCTTCTTATCCTTTTTTTTTGGTACTAGGAATCGAACTCAGAACCTTGCCAGGCAGGCGCTTGTGTAACACCTTTCAAAGTCCGTCCTTTCTTTTCCCCATCACCCCTCCACTTCTACTCCTTGCCACACTAAACCCAAATCAAGATCATCATTTTTCTGAGGTTGTTGTTTTGAGACAGTGTCTTGCTATGTAGCCCAGGCTGACCTCAAATTTGTGATCCTCCTGTCTCAGCCTTCCAAGTGCTGGGATTATAGGCATGGGCACCATGCCCAGTTTTGTTTTGTTTTGTTTTGTTTTTTTGGTACCGGGAATGCAACTCAGGACCTTTCACTTGCCAGGCAGGTTCTTGTGCCACTGAGCTATATCCCTGGCCCCCACGCCCAATTTAAAACCATAACTTTTAAATGAGTCTCGCCGCTTTTGATCTATCCGGGCTCGATGTATTACAAGCATCACTGCTAAATTAGTCAGTGACTGCAGATTGCCTACAGAATACAGTCTGAATTTCTTGGCCCAAACCAGAGGCCCATGCCGTATCCCCCACATTGGAACCCCACTTTTGGAGCTAGTGGCATCTTGAGAAAATAGGTTTTTGGTTTTGGTTTGAGACATGGTCTCACTATATAGTTCAGACTGCCCTTGAACTTACTGGTCCAGGCTGGCCTTGAACTTGTGGTGATCCTCCTGCCTCAGCTTCCTGATTGCTGGGATTACAAATGTGCACCACCACACCTGGCAAGAGCTTTATCTTATACTGCAAAGTAAAATGTATAATATGCTTGAATAAATCCTAGAAAAAAGGTTAAATTAATAGCTTTGAACTACTGTGCATTACTGTGTGTGTATGTACACGCACACACGTGTATTCTGACAGCCGTATTTCATGGCTGGTGTGTGCCTGAGCAGGAGTGAGGCTGCGGGCTCATGGTCTAGGGATGGTGTGGGATCGAAATGCAGCCTGCATTTCATTTGCTGAGCTGTGCACCCTCCCTAGGGACCACGGCATTCTGGGAAAGAGATTGTCTCTTCCAGTCCACCCAAGCCCCAGTTCTCTGTTATCTTTCTTCAGCGGGACCCATGGAAGGTGAGGGAAGGGGTGGCCCTCTGCGAAACAGAAATCACAGCAGCATCGTTTCAGAACTCAAAGGCCCTTGAGAATTCTCTGCTCAACCCCCAACTCCTTTTCCCCAGCCCATACATTGAGCAGCAGGGCTATCAACAGCAAGGGCTTTCCCACCTGCCTTGGGAAGGGCGTTCAAATCTTTCTCCTCAGCCTAGAAGCAGTGTGCTGGTAGTTCCCCCTCCTCAGGAGGCAGAAGCAGGAGGGTTGCTCGAACCCAGGAATTCAGAACTAACCCTGGCAACATAGTGAGACCCCCACCTCATAAAAAGAAAAAAAGTCCTCTGAAGAAAAGCCAGAGTGCAAACTGTCCCCTAACAAGGACTAGAATGGGGGAAAAAAAAAATCTGTAATGAGCCAGGCACAGCTGCAAACCAGACATTTGGGGAGCAGAGGCAGGAGGCTCAGGATAGCCTGGGAAACTTAGCGAGACCCCATCTCAAGAAAAAGTGGGGGCCGGGCTGGGGGGAGTTCAGCGGAGAGTACTTGGGCAGTGTCGGAGGCCTTGGGGCCCGTGCCCAGCACAGCAGCAAAACAAAACAAAGCAAAGCCCCTCTCCCTTTCGGTCCGTCCGCGCTTGCCTTCCCAGGTGAGCCTGCGCTTTCTCCCTTCCAGCCCGGGAACCCCAGCCCCGCGCGGGACCAGCGCATCAACCTGAACCATTACGCCACCAAGAAGAGCGTGGCCGAGAGCATGCTGGACGTGGCGCTCTTCATGTCCAACGCCATGCGGCTGAAGGCAGTGCTGGAGCAGGGGCCGTCCTCTCACTACTACGCCACCCTCGTCACCCTCATCAGCATCTCCCTGCTGCTGCAGGTGGTCATCGGAATCCTCCTCGTGGTCATCGGTGAGGGGCCCAGGGTGGACGTGGGGTCCTGCATTTGCACGCGCCGACCTCAGCCCCGCTGACCTCCCTCAGCCCTCCGCACCTGCAGATGCCCAAGTACAACTCCGCCGCTGGGAGGGCAGCTGCGGTCTCAGCCCCAGCTCTCCTCGAGGGTGGCTGCGCCTCACCCCTTGAGGAATGACCGCCCTCACTGGCTAATAGCCAACTCCTGATCACTCCGCTGTGAGCACTCTGACCCTCTCTTTTTTATTTTTTTGTTTTGTTTTGTTTTGTTTTGTTTTCTGGTACCGGGAATCGAACTCAGGACCTTGCGCTTGCCAGGCAGGTGCTGTGCCGCTGAGCTAGATCCCCAGCCCCCACCCTCCCTCCCTCTTTTAAAAACGTTTTCATTCCTACATGTCTGCAGCACATGTTTACATCCATCACAGCGGGTGGGGACATGTACTTAACACATCTTAATTTTTTTAATTCCCCCTCCCCGCCCTTCCCCCTCCCTCAATCCCTCAATCCTTTTCCCATTTGCAAAACATCTATCTCCCTGTTTCCTACTGTCTTTTTAAAAATTATTTATACTTTGGGTTTTTTATGTGAAAAGTTATGTAAGTATTTAAGCTTGTGTCTGATTTATTTCCCTTAATATTATAGTCTATGGCAGACTAGTACTCCCTGTGTAATGGAAATGTGTAAATACATTTCCTTTTTTTTTTTTATTTTGTCTTTTTGAGACAGGGTCTCCCCATGCAGTTCAGGCTGGCCTTGAGCTCACTTTGTAGCCCAGGCTGGTCTCAAACACGCAACGATCCTCCTGCCTCAGCCTCCCGAGTGCTGGGATTACTGGCCTGCGCCACCACACCCCGCAATACATTTCCTTTATCCATTCATCTGTTGCTGGACATACAGGCCACCTCCAAGCTTTGGCTATGAGGAGCCGTGCCGCTATAAACATGGGTACAATGTATCACTTCATGTCTATGTATCTTCCAGGAAGATACAGTACCAAGAAGGCAAACAGCTGGGTCCGGTGGAATTTCAATTTTTCCTTTTTTGAAGACTCTCCTTACTGATTTTATAGCAGCTGTCTAGTTTACATTCCCACCAATGTCCAAGGTGCGTCTTCCAACTCTCCTTAGAAGATCAGTTTCAGTTTTCAGGGAGCGAATGCCACAAACACTGGTCCAGAGGGCCGCAGGCATTTCCGCCGGGCGACTCGCGGCCTCCCGGTTCTCCACCTTGGGGCTTGAAGCGCTGGGTTCTCTCCACGCTGGCGGCTGCGGGGCGGGGAGCGCCGGGCTGCCGCCCCGCCCCGGCCTTCACCTCCCACTCCCCACCGCTCCACAGCGCGGCTGAATCTGAACGAAGTGGACAACCAGTGGAGACTAAACCAGCTCAACAACGCTGCCACCGCCCTCGTCTTCATCACCGTCGTGTTCAATGTCTTCATCACAGCCTTCGGGGCACAGAAGACTGGCTTCCCGGCTGCCAGGGCCTCCAGGAGTCCGCGCTGAAGCCGCACGGGACCTGGGTGAGGTGCAGCGCCGGGCTCCCAGGCAGCCCTGCACTGGCTGGGGCGGTGGGCTGAGGGATGACCCCTGCCAGGGGGTCTTTAAGCGCTGAAACGGCCTCCACAGAGCCCGCCCTGAGCCTTTTCTACATCGCTGGCGGCTCCTCCTTCGGCTCCGGGCTCAGACTTCCCACAGCCTGGGGTGTGAGGGAATGTGGCTGGTGGGAGGCTCTGCCCCCTGGCAAGAGATGTGGAATTTCTCGTTGCCGCTGCCCAGTAGCCCTCGCCACTCAGACCGCGGTCCACCGGCCAGCAGCAGCAGCCGCCAAACCATCAGGCGCTGGCCGGAAATGCAGCCCCCACTCCTGAGCGGCTGAGCTCCGGAGCTTTCTGTGGGTCCCCAGGCTTGGACAGCTCTGTCTGGCCTGCCCCCCTCACTGCTCTTCCCTGCTTCCCCACAGGGATGGGGTCCAGCACTGCTTCTGCCTCCTTCCTCCCAGAGCTGCCAGGCTGCCAGGCATTTTCCACGGCCCCTGGGAGAGCTTCTAAGAAAGCTGTGTAGATGCTCTTGGTCCCCACCTGCAGCGCCTGAATGAAGATTTTTTTTTTTTTTTGGTACCGGGACTTGAACTCAGGACCTTGCGCTTGCCAGGCAGACGCTTGTGCCACTGAGCTACATCCCCGGCTGAAGATGTTTTACTGGGCGAAATGATTCCCTCTTGGGGTGGAGCCCTGAGCCCAGACTCGTATTCTGCCCACCTTTCTTCCCAGGCAGGATCCTGATGTGGACATGCTGGCGGCTGAGCGAGCCCAGCCTGGGGACGCAGGTTCTGACTCTGCCCCCTCTCCTGCCTCTGCTCCAGGCCTGTAAAATGAATTCTTTCTCTCCATAAAGACCTCTGCAAATCCAGTCTGAGTCCATTTTTTGTCTTCAGCGGCCAAGGCTCCAGCTCCAGGGTTGGCGTCTGCCTGCCCTTTCCTTCTGGGTCCTAGAAGGAGCTAATATCTGTTCCAACCGCAGATGTGTCAGTTCTGGACTGACAGGGTATGATCAAAACATATAGGGAAGGGCTCAATTTAAAGAATTTATTAAAAATAAACACAGAATTTATTAAAATACACATAGAAATAAAGAACTTATTACAGCAAAAGACACAATGCACCTGAGCATGGTGGTACACGCCTGTAATCCCAGCATGGGGGAGGCTGAGGCAGGAAGAACTCTGTGATTTTTAGGCTAGCCTGAGTTCAAGGCTAGCCTGGACTACATATTGAGACTCTGTCTCAAATCCCCTCCCAAAGACACATTGCCACTAATCCCTTTTGCTTCAAAAACACTGATCCCGTCATTCTTGCCATTTTCTGAAACAGTTCCTGAAGCCCTTTTTCATGAGTGCCCTTGCAAGGTATGATCAGAAATCCAGTGAAGGCTGTTGTGTCATCCAATGGAAATGCGGACTCCTTAAAAACCTGGTGTGTCCTCATCCACCCTCACTCACCAAGCCTGGGACTGTGAGGCTTCCAGTTCTTCCCTAAAGTCAAAATGACCACAAAAGGTGAAAAAGTTTTAAATCAATTTGGGACAACACAACTGGAGACTTTCACAGGGCGTGGTGGCGCACACCTGTAATCCCAGCACTCGGGAGGCTGAGGCAGGAGGATTGTTGGGAGTTCAAGGCCAGCCTGGGCTACAAAGTGAGCTCAAGGCCAGCTTGAACTGCATAGTGAGACCCTGTCTCAAAAAGACAAAAAACAGAAACAAACAAACAAACAAAAAAACAACTCAAGACCGTCTTGGAAGAAGACCTCCACCCTGAACTGTGGGAAAGAGGCAGGAATAATGTGACAGCTGTGTTTTGAGCGGCGGTGGTGGGGGCAGTATTCTGGAGCGGGATTAATGCTCATGTGTCTTTCAGCACCATAGTTTTTAAAAAGAATTTAAGCATTCACCATATTTGCTGATCACATCTTACCGAAGCATGATCCTTTCCAAGAACGTACTATAAACCTTTTTTCGCTTTTAAGCACGCATCTAAGCATATGAACTTTGATCTTTGCCTAGGCATACATAACTGGGAAAGTTCACTTGCACCTGTAAAGCCACAGGGCATCCCCTGCCCAAACTGAAAGCATTTATTTATTTTTCGTGGTGCTGGGATGGAGCCCAGGACCCCACGCATGCTAGGTAAGCGTTCTACCCCTGAGCTACAGCCCCAGCCTCATCTGCTGTTTCAGAACAAGCCACACAAGGGGCTGGGGATTTGGTTCAGCGGAACAGCCCCTGCCTGGCAAGTGCGAGGTCCTGAGTTCAAATCTCAGTACAAAAAAGAAAAAGAATATAGGATACTATGGAAAGTACACTCAGTAGAAAAACAGTAAGCCACACACAGCTTCTCCACTGCCCACAAACCATTCTGCGCTGTTCTCCCAGTGGGTCTGCAGCCTTTCTCAGCAGAAACACCACCCTGTTAACCTGAGCAGGTCGTTCATTCATCCCTGACTGAGATATGGAAGAGGACAGTTCTGTACCCTTTCTGAGTAAACCCCAGCGGAGAGAATGCCATCCCCACCAGAGCAGACACCAAACTAGCAGCGCGGGTGGAGGGGCGGGGAGTCCTCGGCACGGCCAGGAGAGGCTGGCGAGCTGAGGGACAGCGATGCGATCCTTGGGCCCCTCAGCCCCACCCTCTCCCACCACACATGGGTCACAGGAAGACACGGGAGCCAGTGGTTTTCTACGAAGATGCTGTATTTAATGTCTTCCCTTCCCCCACCCGAGACATTTCCCTACAGAGCAGGGGCCAGAACGGCCCCTTAAGGCAGATGGTGTGGAAGTAACAAACACAAGGCACTGGCCTGGGAACAGGGGTGCAGGCAGGCGGGGCAAGCCCCAGGCATCAGGAGAAGTGGAACGGCAGAGCTGCAGGGACCGGTTCTGGCCTTCCAGTGCAATGCCAAGAATGAGAGCGGCCCTAGAGACCCTGGCCCCTAGCTGACCAGCTGCGGCCCTCCCTGCTTCCTACGCGCTCTTTCCAGGCGGCAGAAAGCCTGAGCAGGAACCAGAAGAGGCCACAGCCCGGGGGCAGGTAGGGCATCCATGAGCCACAACAGCCCAACCCGATTCCTTAGAGGAAGGCAGTGATTCTTCCAGCGCCCCACAGATCCCCGCGGCCTCCAGCCTCCAGCCTCCAGCCGAGCTTCTGCTCTTGGTGAACGCAGATGCCCTGGGCAGGCCTTGCAGCTCCAAACGCTGCCTCTGGTCTGTCACAGCGTGGACCTTGGGCTCAGCCACCCCTGCTCAGGATCCCGCTGCACTTCCCCCAGCCCCTTCTCCCCCACGTCAGGGCGTCCTCCACGCACTCGGGGTTCAGGGGCAAGCACCCAAATGCAACACTGGGGAGCTCAGCAGCAGCGGTAGAACAGTCCCCGGCCACAGAAGCGCCTGGGGTTTATTAGTGCAAAAGACAAGTCCGTGACCACTGGTGACAGAAAGGGGGCGCCACAGACTGCAAAGGCCGGGGGTATTTCCCTGAAACTGCTCCACTTGAGTTCTTCTGACCCCTTGCCCCCTCCCCTGGGGAAGGGACTTCCCGGTCTTCCACTGCTCCCTGCTCCCCGCCACCCTTGCCTGTCCCCTGCCTCCGCACAGGGCCAGGTGGCTGGGCCTTCTCCGCCCCTCCCCGCCTGGCCTCCACACCCGTGTCTAAGGAGCACCGCCACATTCCCTCTAAGCTCTCCTCGCGCAGCACGCATGTCCTCCGAGGCTCCGCCCAGGGCGAGCTGGAGGGGGCGGGGCACCTCTCCCTGGCCTTCTTCAGCCCGCCCATTTTGCAGAGCCACACTGCGATCACTAGTGGCAAGAGACGCACTGCCTCCCAGACCCCACCTCCCTCCCACCCCACCCCCTACCGGAAGGCACCCCCAGCTCTGTGAGTCCAGTCCCAGGTGAGTGCCCCAGGAGCGCTTCCATTAATGCCCTAAGGGTGGCCAGCAGCTCGGTGGCTACCCGGAGAGATGTGGATTTGGGAGCTCAAGCCTGGGCAAGGGCCAGACCTGCTCCAGACAGGACAGCACCGCTGGACGGGACGGTGCTCAAGGGCCACACTGCAGCACACAAGCGGGCCTGAGGTTTGCAAGTGGGGACATCCCCTCGGCATACATGCCCCGCCAAGGCCAGGTCTGCACAGCAGTTCACGGCCAACACTCCTCACGGCGCGCACGGGGGTCACTGGAACGCGCCTCCAGCCAGGGGTGAGGACGGGTCTCCTCTCCCTGACCGCGCTGCTCCACGCTCTCAGAAGCCATCGTCTCTGTCAGCCGAGCGAGTGGCAGAGGAGCCCTGGGACCTGAATCCACATGAGGGGCAGCTCCTGGTGGAGAGGAGCTCCGCGCTGAGGCCTCTTGGGACCCAGGCACCCTGCTGCTCCCCGTCTTCCCGTCCTCTGCACCGAGCAGGGCACTGGGAAGCAACCCCAAGTCACGAGCCACGGCGGTGGGTCCAGCCAGCCCCACCACGGGCCTCACGGCATCTTCACCTGGCGGCGGTTCCACATGCCGCGCTTGGAATGGAAGTGATGGAAGAAATTCCTGAGGGAGAGACGCTCCACTTCCAGGCCTGCTTGGAGGATCCTGAGGAGGGAGGAGTGGGCATGAGCCCGCAGCCCTCAGAGTCACCCCTTCCACCCTGACCTCCGACCCTCCTCCCTCAGGAGCCTCCCACAGGGCAGAGGAAGTAGGTACGGTGGGAAGAAGCCAGCCAGCCAGCCGGGGCTGGAGTCCCAGCTCCCTGACTGCGCAAGTGACGCCATCTGTCAGAGCCTGCTCACCACCGCTAGGAGGAGGATGCTAACCTTATAAACATGCCCGGCTGTGCATACAGACCCACCGCCTCTAGTCACATATATAGGGATGATGGATGCCAAGTGCCCAGCACAGGCCCAGCACACACCGAGGGCCCAGAGACTGCCGAGACTTTGCTCCCTATCTACAGGGGCAGAGCCCTGGAGCCACACAGCCTGTCTCAGGCCCGCCCTGTTCTGTTCTGCTCTGTTCAAGTCCGTTCTTTTCTTTTCTTCCTTCTTTTCCTTCTTTCTTTCTTTCTTTTTTTCTTTCTTTTTTTTTGAGACAGGGTCTCGCTATGCAGTTCAGGCTGGCCTTGAGCTCACTTTGTAGCCCAGGCAGGTCTCAAACTCGCAACGATCCTCCTGCCTCAGCCTCCCAAGTGCTGGGATTACAGGCGTGCACCACCACACCCGGCTTCAGGTTTTTTTTGTTTTGTTTTCTTTTTCTTTCTTTAACAGCACTGGGGATGGACCCTCAGGCACCTGCGTGCCAGGCAGGTGCTCTGAACTTGAGCACCTCCGCCCACCCTGCTCCTTGTCTCCATGCGCAGCTCCCCGGCAGCAGTTTCTTTCTTGTTGGGCCTCAGAGGAAGCAAGAGGAGTAGGAGGTACGCTGGAGGCCTGCACTGGAGCACGAAGCCCAGCACGAAGCCCAGCACGAAGCCCAGGGTGGCATAACTGCGACTCTGAGCTTCTCAAAGTGCAGCTCCAGGCTGCTGCGATCCAGCCTTGTGAAATCTGAGCTATCTCCATCCCTGCCCCCGCCCTCCACCCTTAATTCTCTTTGTATTGTCACCATCCTTTTCTTTCTTCCTTCCTCCCATGGGAAAACCATGAACAGGCTGCTTTTTAAGCTTCTGAGACTTTCGTAAGAGAGGCTTGGGGCAAACTGTTAACGACTCTCTGTGACTTGGTTTTCTTCTCTGAAAAATGGGGATACTTGTGCCTAATAACAAGGTTACTTGCGTGACTCACCTGCAGAGCACAGGCACCCAGTGACAGTGGCTGCACCCTTCCCTGGGTCTCGGGAAGAAAGGTCGACCTTCCCTGTCAGGTCGCCTTCCCCGGTGCACCTCTTCCAGGAACTTTCCAACCCTGATGCCCTTTCTTTCCCCCTCACTCTCCTTTGCCCCACCTCAGGATCAAAGCTCAAGGCACCACACTCTTTCCTTTCCCTTCTTCTAGTGCAAACATCTTCTTCTTCTCTTTTCTTTACTTTTCTGGTAGCAGGGATTGAACTCAGGACCTCGTGCTTAACAGGCAGGTGCTTGTACCTCTGAGCTACATCCCTGGCTCTTCTCCTTTTTTTTTTTTTGATACAGGGTTCATCCACTACTCTATGCCAGGCTGGGATCTTCCAGCCTCGACCTCTTGAGAGCTGGGATTATGGGTGCACACCGCCATCCCTGGAGGCAGCAAATGTCTTGAAAGAGGAATCTCACACCAACACAGGGAGAAGCGTCCTCACTACCGTGTGCTCCTCCCTCCCCTACGACCTCGCTCCCTGCCAAGCCCGCAGTTGGCACTGAGTTCTTTCTTCTCTCAGGCCGAGCCCGCAGTTGGCACTGAGTTCTATGCGCCTTTCTTCTCTCAGGCCAAGCTCTTTCACTCTTGGCCGCCAGGGTCTCAGTGCCCCTGGGAACCTCACCGCCCTCTAGTGGTCCACCCTGTCTCTCTTGCTGGCCCTGCATCTTTCCTGACCTTGGCCTGTGTTGACTTCACCCTCCCTGCAGGTGGCGCTAGCGGGGGAGAAGGGCTGGCCAGGCTCATCTCCACCAGAGTTCCCACCTGGTGCTGAGAACACTGCCCCTTGCATTTGCACAGCTCAGTGGTTTTTGCTTTTCCTCTGACACTTCACCAACCTTTAACTTTAGTGGTCACACCAGCCCAGTGACACAGACAGCAGGAGCAGGAGCGTCACCTCCTCTGCAAGCTGAGAGCTGAGAGCACCGGGATGTGTGACCTCGGTGGATCCCACCCGTCCCCTCCCCGAGCACCACGCCGAACGGAATCCCAGCCCTCCCTTGGATCCCTCCCTCCGCAGTCACCTGTCCAGCAGCTCCCAGTCTTCTCCGCCCCAGCGGTCCCGGAACTCCTTGGTGTTCATGCCTCCGATCTTGTCCAGGTCTGACTTGTAGATGCCGAGCAGTCCGAACCCATTCACCTCCCAGTAGCCTGTGGACAGCCAAGCAGCTGCGGTGAGCCAAGCTGGGGCCAGGAGGCCGCAGAGGCCTCAGGCTGTGCGCTAGGACAGGGCTGAGTGGCAGCGCAGGCTGAGAGCTCTCTCCGCTGAGCACACACCTTACCTACTGGGGGAAGGGCCCCGCCGGAGGTTCAGGGCTCAGCACATGCAGCAGTGAGCCCGGCTGACCCGGGGCCTACAGTTAGCTGTGAGAACAGCAGCCTCGGAGTTACCGTGCCCCTCCCTCTCTGTAGGCAGAGAGCTCTGGCCGAGATGCCCGCATAGCATCCCAGGGCACAGCATCTGTGTACGACAGACGCTTCCTCGGTGTCTGACAAGCAAGTGAGGGGAAGCGGGGCAGGAACATTCGCTGCTGCACCAGCTGCTCGGGTGGACGGTCTACGGGGGCGGCACGGCAAGGGGCGCTGCCATTCGCCAACGTGCCCACCTGCGGCTCTGAGGTTAGGAACCACAGAGGAGGGGCCTCCCCTCCTCCCCAGGCAGGGCGGGGCAGGGGCTCACCCTCAGGCCACCAAGGGGTGGCCCCGCAGTGCAGCCTCATCACCATGGGGGCGAAGGCCATCTTGCCCTCCACACAGTGCTTCCGGATGGTGTCGATGACTCCGGGGGGAAAGTAGATGTGGAGGTCACAGAGGAAGATGATGCTGTGAGGGTCCTGGGGGCCAAACAGCGGGGTCACCAGGCCCTCAGGACTCCTGGGAGAAACCTTAGGCTCTGCCCTGTTGGAACGATGGCCAAACCCGCACAAACCCACCCGCTGGGCAGACATCCGTAGTCAGAGCGGTGTTCTCACCATCGAGGGCCAGCCCTGCTCCTCTCCCTGCTGTTTACGGGCTCTGAGGACCCGGCACAACTGAGCAAATGCTCCCCTGCCATCTGCTTAGCCCCTCTCTGCCGCTGGCCCCACAAGGAGCACAGAAGATGCTCCCTGCTGTGGTTTGGGCAAGGGTCCCTGAAGGGCCATGTAGCAGACTTGGTCCCCAGCCTGGGGAGTTGCTGGCAGGTGCGGGACCCTTTGGGAGCTGAGGGCTGTGGCAGAAGCAGGTGACTGGAGGCCTTGGAGGGGATCCTGGGACCCTGGGCTCCTCCCGTCTGTCTTTTTTGCTTCCCTGCCACCGCAAGGGGAGCAGCTTCCTCTCCCACTGTGACATATTGCGCTGCCACCGGCCCAAAGGCAATGGGACCAACCCACTGTGGGCTGCAACCAGGAATTAACATGAGCACTCCTTCCTGGGAAGGTGATTCTCTCAGGTATTCCTTACAGTTAGGGGAAGCTGGCTCACACACCCCCGGGTCCCTGTGTGCTTCCCCACTGGACGGCTGACTCCCTCACACATCACGAAGTTCTCTCTGCCTCTTAAACCCATTTCCTGACCCCTTTCCAGGCCAGCTAGTTACCTTCACCAAGTCAATGCCAGCCTGAAGTCCAGCTGAGCGCTCAAAGTTCCCACTGAGCTTCATATACTGGTAGCTGCAGAAGGAAAGAAAGGAGGAGCTGAGTGTTAGGAGTCAGCTGCTGGGGTCCCCGGCATAGAGATGCTAAATGCACCGCGGTGAGATTATGCACAGGGGAGTCCTGGGAAAGAACTAAAGACTAGAAATCAGGGAAGCCGGGTGGGGCAGCTCACTCCTAGACCCGGCAGCCCTAGGACTTCAGGAAGGAGGTTCCCAGGCTGCGCCCCGGTTGTGCAGCAGGGAGCTGGGGAAGGGGGGTCCTCACCTCCGCAGCTTGGACCTCTTCAGGGCCATCTCAACATCCATGTCCTCACTGCTGTAGTCGGTGATGATGACGTTGAAGTGCGGGTCGCCGGTGACCTGCGACAGGTTTTCCATGTCTCTGATGAACTGCTGCACCCAGCGCGCCTGGTTCTTCACTACCCCCGTGTGCCGGGCAGAAAGAAACAGAGGTAAGAAAAGATGAACATCGCTCTCAACGCACACGTGAGTCAGGAATCCCCACCAGGCCCCTGCTGTGAAGATAGTACAACTTTCAGCAAGCCACGAGCAAGACACTAGGGACCGGGGCTGGGGATTTAGCTCAGCGGCACAGCGCCTGCCTAGCAAGCGCAAGGTCATGAATTCCAGTCCCGGTACCGGAAAAAAACCAAACCAAAAAAAAAAAAAGACACTAGGGACCTGAAGGAGAGAACTACTCCCAGTGAAGGGACCTCTGTCCTGAGCTCCCTGCAAGGCTCCCGCGCAGGCCCAGGAGAGGGCCTCGGGCTGGGGTCACAGCAATCCTGCCGGGCTCTGACAATCAATCTTACTGTCACTATTTCCAGTCCTACCCCGCTGCTACACCCCTGCCTGTCATCATCAAAACCACTGAGGGCTTGGGATGCGGTTCAGCAGCAGAGCACTTGCGGAGTGAGCACACGCAAGGCCCTGGCCTGCATGCTCAGCACCAAAAAACTAAACCATCGTCTCTAGTCCTCTTTGTGCTGTATTTCCTCAACAACAAGTTCAAGTGATGGTCACAGCCACCCAGGAGACCTCGTGGGAGAGAAAGGGCTCCAGCCACCGAGTCAGTCTCTAGGCTCAGCTCCAACACTCGCTGTCACCTTAAGCACACTCCCTCTCTTTGCTGAGCCGCGGCTCCTCTCTTAGGTTCCCGGGAGACTGAAATGGGGAAACAGACTTAGTGCCGTGGGAACCGCCCTGCAGAGGCTCACCGGGCACAATGAAGTGGACCACGGCTCGGTGATTCCAGGAGAAGCCCTGGGGCCAGCACAGCTTGGGCTCGGGATCCCGGACGTTCAGGACATGCCTCCGCCGCCGCCGGCTGTGGGGGCTCCAGACCAGGCCCTGCAGGTTCCGGGGCTCGGCCTCTTCTGCACCAGCCGGGTCGACGCCCTGCCAGCCCCGCGTGGACACGTACTCTGACAGCCTCACCAGGCGCTGGCCTTGTTCCAGCAGCTCGAGCTCCAAGAGGTAGCGGCCCCCACGCAGCTGGTCCTGACGCTTCTCCACGTTCACAATGCGCTGCAGCTGGTATCTCCTGCGGCACAAAGGGTGGGGGCTTGAGTGCTTCCTCCCCAAAGCAAGGGCAGCCCAGCATGCTGCAAGGCAACAGGCCCATTGCCAGGAGAAGCTGATTTCTGTCCTAGCTTTGCCATTGGCTAGGGGTAGAGACTCAAGCGAGATGCCCAGCCTCTCTAGGTCTCACAGCCTCCATCTTCAAAACTGCACTGTTTGTAGCTTTTCGTGTGTGTGTGTCTTTTTTTTGAGACAGGGTCTCACTATGCAGTTCAGGCTGGCCTTGAGCTCACTTCGTAGCCCAGGCTGGTCTCAAATTCACAATGATCCTCCTGCCTCAGCCTCCTGATTGCTGGGATTACAGGCGTGCGCCACCACACCCGGCATTTGTAGCTTTTTTTTTGTTTTGGTACTGGGAATCGAACTCAGGACCTTGCACTTGCCAGGCAGATGTTTATGCCATTGAGCTATATTTCCAGCAAAAATGCACTACTGAGCTGTAATCATCTCCACGAGCTTTTCCAGCTCTGAGACCCTAAGTAGACTAAGAGGCGTCACAGTGCAGAGGCTCCTTCAGAAATTGACCCTCAAGGGCCGGGGATACGGCTCAGCAGCACAAGCACCTGCCTGGCAAGCACAAGGTCCTGAATTTGATTCCTGGTATCAAAAAAAAAAAAGAGAAATTAACCCTCGATAATAAACACATTGTTCAAGTTAAAAGTCTGTAAGACACAATGAGTTATTACATGAGTGTTAAATGGTTGGCTCAGTATCGTTAGCCACTAGATAATTGATAATTGAAATCACAAGCTGCATGGTAGTGACATAAAAAACAGACACACAGGCTGATGGGACAGAATACAGAACCCAGAAATAAATCCAGCACCTTGGACAAGAACACACATGGGCTAGAGGACCATCCTCTTCAACAGAGGGTGCTGGGAAAAGTGGATATGCTTGTATAGAAGAATCAAATTGGGCTTCTATTTCTCACCATATACAAAAGCCACCTCAAAATGAATCAGACTTAAATGTAAGGCCTTCTCTTTCTTTCTTTTTTTTTTCTTTTTTGTCATTTTTGGAGACAGGGTGTCACTATGCAGTTCAGACTGGCCTTGAGCTCACTTTGTAGCCCAGGCTGGTCTTGAACTTGCAACAATCCTCCTGCCTCAGCCTCCTGAGTGCTGGGATTACAGGCATGAGCCACCATGCCTGGCTTAAACGTAAGGCCTGAAACTATGACGCTTCTGAAGAAAACATAGGGGAAATGCTTCAGGACACTGCATGAGGCAAAGATTCTTGGGAGGGCCAGGGATGTAGCTCAGTGGCATAAGTGCCTGCCTGGCAAGTGCAAGGTGCTGAGTTCGATTCCCAGTACCAAAAAGAAAAAAAAAAAAAGATTCCTGGGATATTACTTCAGAAGCACAGGTGAAAAAAGCAAAAGTTGACCAGCAGAACTACATCAAACTAAAAAGCACAGGAAAGGGGACATTCAACAGATGAAGAAATAACCTCCAGGAGAAAGTATGTGCAAGATGCTCATTCAGTAAGAGATCAGCAGTGAGTATCCAGAGTACAAAAGAACTCACAAAACACAAGTCATCTGATTTACAGCTGCACGAATGACCTGAACAGATACTTTGCTTTTGTTTGTTTTTGTTTGTTTCTTTGCTTTTGTGGTACTGAAAATTAAACCCAGGAATGTTCTACCTCTGAGCTATGTCCCAAGCCCCCCTATTTGATATTTTATTTTGAAGCAGGGTCTTCTTTTTCTTTTAATTTTTGTTTTAAAGAAAAAGAAACAAAAAGACAAAAAAAAAAAAAAAACTTCCAAGACAATATGATGGGAGGGTAACAATGTTTAATACATTGTACATTGTTATCTTCAAATTAGTTCCTCACAGTATGAGATATCAGCATTTAATTGTCCAAACAATATTAGCACAAACCTACTGAAGCAGGGTGTTCTAAGTCATTAAATTGCCCAGGTTGGGCTCAAACTGGTGATCCTCCTACCTCAGCCTCCCAGAGCACTCTGGTTTACAAGCATGTGCTACCATGCCCATGTCTAAATAAACAATTTTTAAGAGGCTACACAGCTGGGCGTGGTGGTATATACCTGCAATCCCAGCAGCTGGGAGGGTACGGCAGAAAGATCACAAATTCAAGGCCAGTCTGGGCTACAAAATGAGACACTATCTCAAAAACAAAACAAAACAAAATGAAGTATATTTTAAAGAAAGAGGATATGGCCGGGATATAGCTCAGTGGCACAAATGCCTGCCTGGCAAGCACAAGGTCCTGAGTTCGATTCCCGGTGCCAACAGCAACAAAAAAAAAGGATATGCAAATAGCCAAATGTCTATAGAGAAAAGGCTCAGCCAGTCTTGGTGGTACACGATCGTAAACCCAGGACTCTGAGAGGCTGAGGCTGGAGGTTTCAAATTTGAGCCTATCCTAGGCAATTTAGCAAGTTGGTGAGCGCTGGTCTCCAAATAAAATGTATTAAAACAAAAGGGCGGGGTATATACCTCAGTGCAAAGGCTCTTAAATTCAATCCCCAGTACTGCAAAACAAAAACAAAGCAAAAC